AGTGGGCCTCTCTTTGCTGGGACAGGAGGGGCAGCTGGGGTTTCCGCTTCTGTTTTGGGAGATGCTGGGTCACATGAGGGCCTCCTACCCTGGCCATCCTTCCTCTGTCCCGGAGTGGCCCGCAGCGAGTCTTGTTTACCAAACACCCTGACCCCACCCTCTCCCGAGGGTTGGGGTGGGGTGGGGAGGAGCAGAGGTCCTGAGCCCCCGGGGGTGGGGGAGGGGCCTCTGCGGGTACCAGCCTCTGAGTCTGGACACGTCCCTCTGCGTCTTCTGGTGTAACTTGGGGGCTGGTGGTTAGACACTGAGAAGCCACAGAGTAGGTGGGCCCAGGCCGGGTGTGGGCAAGGTGTAGAGGTGAGCCCCTCCCTAGAGCAGGGCAGGGCAGGGCAGGGAGGGCGTGCTGAGCTCACAACACCCCGGGGGCAGGGCTGTCCCGAGAAGTCCATTGTCCGGAGGGACACGGAACCGGAACCACCGAGCGGTTAGGTGACGTGGCCGAGTTACCGGGCCGGGAAGCGTAGTGCTGGGGTTCCAACCCAGGCCTGCACCCTGGACTGACCTGCGGATGGGAGGAAGGTCGGGGTCCGCAGAGGGAGCGGGCGGGCGCGGGGAGTGTGGCTCGGGGGACGGGACGACAAGGCGGGGAGCCCGAGAGGTGCTCAGATCTCTGCGCGGGGAGGGCGCGTCCGGGGGCTCGCAGGCGGGTGTCCCCTGACGGGCTCACTGGGTTCTGCTCTGTGCAGCCGGAGTGTGCCAGGCGGGGCACGGGGAGGTCAGCCATAAGCCTAAGAGAAGACGGTGGTCAGAGCAGCTGGCTGTCCGCACAGCCGTGAGGGAGGGCGGTGGAGGGACAGCCTCTGGCAGCGGGGACACTGGGACGGAGGTCCCCGGCGGGAAGAGGCCAGCGCGGCTCCAGGGGCCTCGAGGGATGGTGAGGAGGGTGGTGTGAGTGACGCCAGAGGCCCCGTGGTACAGGGTCACCTCAGGCAGGGCTCCCAGAGTGGGCTGGAGCCCCCCGGAGGTTTAATGAACAGGAAGGAAGGACGTGGGCAGCCCAGGGCAGGTCACGGAGGACAGCAGGGCCAATGCCAGCCTTGGACGCTCCGGCAGCCCTGGCTACACCCCCGTCGCCTCTGCGTGACTTGGGTCCCACAGTGGTGCCACCATCCGCTTTAAGGGAGGCCTGGGCCGCGGGGGAGAACTCGGGAAGGCGACCCTGAACCTCCAGCTGGGGTCTGGGGATAGTGGCCAGGAGTCCCGCCACCCCCCATGCCCCAGAGGCCCTCCCGGCAGATGCAGGGCTGGGTGGGGCTGGCCCGGGCATCTCCACTAGCTCCTACCCACCCAGCAGCTGCCACGGGGCTGGGAGCGCATCTGCAGCCGTCAGAATTCCGGGTGGCTGCCATCGGAACAGCTGGTTTCCTAGCGGACTTCCCTCCGGAGTTTCAACTTTTTTTAAGTCTGAAAATGAGGGGGCGGGCAGCTCTACGGTGACATAGTTGTAGGGCTGGGGACACCTTAGGGCTTCTCACAGCGTCATCCCAGCCAGGAGGGGTGACCGGCCACCAACCTCTCCCCTGGGCCGGGGGCTCATCCTTCCCGCTCTCTGGGGGTGGCGCAGTCACTATTCTCAATTTAGCGAGAGGAAACAGGCGGTAGAGAGGCTGCGTCCCCAGCCACGGGACTAGGGAGCGTTTCGGTGCAGTCGGGCACCCCAGGCCAGCGTGATCTTGGCCGGTGCCCGCTGAGAAGCTGATGAAGCCCTCGGCAGCGCTGGGTCTCAACCTGCCACTGGGCCAGGCCAGGCAGCAGCTGTGGAACCTGGCACAGCCCCCGCGCTGCCCACAGCCTCCTGGAAGCATGTGGACTATGAAGCCTGTGACCTAGGCCTGGCTCCGTGTGGGGACGCTGCCCAGGAGAAGGGGCACAGGGGAGTTCGTGTGCACAGGGTCCAAGATGCCGGCTGCTCTGTGACCTCCGGCAGAGGACCTAGCCACTTGGGCCTTGGTTTTCTTATCTGCAAAATGGGTGCCCAGTCACAGGGAAGGGTGGAGTTGAAGCAGATGGAAACGGTGGGAGCGTGGTGGCGGCTGCCCGCTGTGCGGTGTGGGCAGCCGTCCCCTCCCAGGTGAGAAGTGTGATGCCGGTCTGCATGGGAGCCTGAGAGCTGCAGCCACATCCTGGATGGGAGGTGCCTGTGCCACCCAGACCTGGGTCTCACCCTGAGGACCTCTGGCCAGCAGTAGGTACTCGTGACCCGGAAACTGAATCAGCAAAGTTCTGGCAGGAAGAGGAGGGAGTCCTAGGGTTTCTTGGGGACGATGGCCTCTGAGTCAAGAGGAGTCGCTGCTTGACTGTAGACGGGAAGGAGAAGGGCCTTCCAGACAGGAGGGGCGGCACAGACTGAGACCCAGACACGGGCCGGGCGCGTGGCTCCCACGGGCAGCCCCAGCACTTCGGAAAGCTGACCCGGGCGATCCCGAGGCTCCGGTGTTGGGAGCCGTCCCGGCCAACATACTGCAACCCTGTCTACTACATAACGATCAGAGACGAGTCAGTCGGCCGACCACGCGTCAACACGAGGTTTCCCCCTGACAAGTTTTGTAAAAATACAAAAAAATCAGCCGGGTGTGGTGGCGCGTGTCCGTAGTCCCAGCTACTCAGGAGGCTGAGGCCGGAAAATCGCTTGAACCCGGGAGGCGGAGGTTGCAGTGAGCCGAGATGGCGCCACGGCACTCCAGCCTGGGCGACAGAGAGACTCCGTCTCAGAAGCCAAAAAACGCCCAGAAAGGTGGCACTGCCCAGAGGCTCCGGCTGTGTGGGGCAGAGCGCAGGATACCGGGGAGGGAGGACCTCAGGCCGCAGAGGCTGGGCGCCGTGGGGGGGGCGAGAGGCCGGCTCGTGTCATCGGAGGTCCAGGCAAGCCAGGAAGGGGTGCAGGGAGAGCCCTAGGAGGTGAATGGGCCAGACTTCAGGGTCGGTTGGATTTGGAGGGTGAGGGAGGTGAGGGTGAACTTGCACCAGATGCTCACCAAGCTTCTGCCCTGAGCCCGGGACCGTACGGAGCCTCGGCACACGGGGCCTGAACTCGGAGGCTGACACACGTGGAGACGGGTCGATCAGCTAACCACGCCAACTCGAGCTCCCCACTGACAAGTGCCGACCAAGCCAATGGCGGCTTCTCCTTTGAGGGAAGGAACTGGGGACGTGCAGGTCGGAGCTGGCGGGGAGCCGAGCGGAGGCAGGGGCACATGCAGGGGTCCCGTGGCTGGCGGCTGCGTCCCCAGCCCAGCTGGGTGCAGGTAGTACCGGGTGTGGAGCTCTCCGGGAGGCGTTAGCAGGGGGCCTGGCCCAGGGGCACCGTGAAGCTCATGGGGAGCTTCAGACCGGGGAAGCAGCAAACTCCAGCCTACAGGCCAAATGCGGCCCACGGCTTGTTTTTGTAAATAAAGTTTTATTGGGACATTGCCGCGCACATACCTTTGTCTATTTGCTACAGCTGTATGGGTTGGTTCGTTTTGTTCATGTTTTAGAGTAACAGTTCTTACTGTGTTGCCTAGGCTGGTCTCCAACTCATGGCCTCAAGTGATCCTCCTGCCTCAGTCTCCCACGTGCTGGGATGATAGGTGTGAGCCACCAATCCGGTCTTGGCTTTTTGTTTGTCCTGTTTTTGTTTTTGTCTTCCAAGACGGAGTCTGGCTTTGTTGCTCGGGCTGGAGTGCACTGGAGCCATCTTGGGTTACTTAGTCCCCTGAGTAGCAGGACTACAGGCACGCGCTACCGCCTCCGGCTCGTTTTGGGGTTGTTTGGTTTTTTGGTTTGAGACAGCGTTTCGCTCTTGTTTCCCAGGCTGGAGTACGGTGGCACAATCTCTGCTCACAGCAGCCTCCACCTCCCGGGTTCAAGGGATTCTCCTGCCTCAGCCTCCTGAGCAGCTGGGATTACAGGCGCCCACCACCATGCCCAGCTACCTTTTTTTTTTCTTTTTGTATTTTTGATAGAGACGAGGCTTCTCCATGTTGGTCAGGCTGGTCTCGAACTTCTGACTTCTGGTGATTTGCCCACCTCAGCCTTCCAAAGTGCTGGGATTACAGGTGTGAGCCAGCACGCCTGTCCTCATTTTTGTATTTTTAGTAGAGACAGGGTTCTGCCATGTTGGCCAGGCTGGTCTCGAACTCTTGACCTCAGGTCATCCACCTGTCTTGCCTTCCCAAAGTACTGAAATTATAGGAGCGAGCTACCATGCCCAGCCTGTTTTTGGATTTTGTAGAGATGGGGTCTTGCTCTGTTGCCCAGGCTGGTTTTGAACTCCCAGCCTCAAGCAGTCCTCCTGCCTTGGCCTCCCAGAGTGTTGGGATTACAGGTGTGAACCACCGTCCCCCGCTGCCACAGTTACTTCCCTTCACAGCAGTCAAGTTGAGCAGCTGTAGCAGAGACTGGTGACCCATGAAGCCCAAAAGATTTGCTTTCTCTCCGTCTGCAGAAAGCATTCGCCAGCTCAGAGAGTTTTAACAAGCAGGGACAGGAAGCATGAGGGAGTCGGGAGCTCCGCAGCTGGCTAGGGACGCAGTGATGCTCCTGAACTCGGGTGCCCATGGAGGTGGAGAGGGCAGCAGTCCACAGGACCCACAGGACCTGGATGTGCTGGGGGTGGGAGAGGTGCCGGGGGGTTCATGGTTTCTGGCCTCGGCAGGGCGGGCTTAAGAACCCAGAATGGAAGCAGAGCCGGCTGAGTTTGGCCACACAGTGTGTGTGCAGAGGGGATGGGGGCGAGGTCCCGGGGTGGTGACCAGGAGGCCCCTGTTGATACCGACTGGGCTCCAGCGGGGCCAGGCCGGGGGTGCAGGGCCTCGGAGTTGGCATGGGTATCAACAGGGTCCTCCAGGGATGGCGATCCTGCTCTTCTAAGAGAGAGGGAAAGAGGAACGGGGTTCTGATGGTCAGCCCGGGGGCCCCCAGACCTGGGGACTGCAGTGTTCTCTTCCCTGTGCCCGCAGCATCCACAACGGGGTGATCGCCGTCTTCCAGCGCAAGGGGCTGCCCGACCAGGAGCTCTTCACCCTCAACGAGGGCGTCCGGTGAGTGCCTGTCCCACCTCGGGCCGGGGTTCCTGAGCCGTAGAGAGGGCTAGACCCGGAGTCAGAGGCCCCGGCCAGGCCCCTGACCCACCGGCCACACCTGGGCTTCCTCCCAGAGGCCATCTGTCAACAGGAGAGCGAGAAGTTAGCAGGGGCCACATGAGACCAGGATGTGGCTTCCCGAGCTGCCATATGGGCCGTGACCTCTGCCCCCCACTTCAGGCCTGGTGGGCCTGCGCCCCCACCCTCCAGAGAAAGGTCTTGAAGGGGAAGTGGGGTGGGGCCTGGACAGCAGCTGGAGATGTCGCCCACGGCCCCCACCAGTGCGGGGCATCATGAAGGATATTTATTCTGTGAAAGAGGAAGGACCCACCTGCCTAATGACGGGAGTGTCATTCCCGGAAAAGCACGTCCAGCCTGCCAAACGCCGCTGTTTCCTGTGACTAGCCGGGAAGTGAGGATCGCGAGCCGCGGGCTGGACGCACACCCGCTGAGCTGCTGCCCCGAGCCAGGTGGCGGGAGCTTCAGGGGAGCCTACGGTTGCCGTTTGTAGTGGAGGAGGCCAGAGCTCGGAGAGGTCAAGAGACTCGCCCCAGGTCACACAGCTGCTCCAGGGAGGCGGTTCCCAGCTGAGCTGTTTCCCTTGGCCCTGACCCTGTTACCTTGTCCCTGTGTCAAAAGAATGCTGGACCTTGTCCTTGTGTCAGAAGAATGCTGGCAAAATAGGCAGTCCCCCTTTCCCTTGTTATTCAGGAGGAGAGTCAGTGGCCAGGCCAGATTGTCACACGTAGGCGCCCCACTCCACCCTGTGTGCCGGAGCTGAAGGGGCCCTTACATGTGGGTCAGCTGAGGCCCAATACATGCCACTCGCTCAGGGTATCCTGCTTGTCTCTGGCTCATGTGGCCAAGACAGGGGTGGGGCTCCAGGAACTCATTTTCCTGAGGATCCTCTGCTTGCGAAATAGGAGCCTAAAGGATCTGCTGGGGGTTTTGGGGTTGGGTTTGGGTTTGGGTTGGTTTTTGAGACAGGGTCTCACTCTTGCCCAGGCTGGAGTGTGGTGGTGCAGTCTCAGCTCACTGCAACCTCCGCCGTCTGGGCTGAAGCGACTGTCCCACCTCAGTTTCCTGAGTAGCTGGGACTACAGGTACGTCCTACCACGCCTGGCTAATGTTTTATTTTTTGTAGAAAGAGGAGTCTCATTACCCAGGCTGGTCTGGAACTCCCGGACTCAAACCATCCTCTAGGGATGCTGACCTCCGGCCTCTCAGTGTTGGAATTAAAGGTGTGAGCCACCATCCCCGCTAGCTGCGTGTTTGAACAACCATAGAAGGAATTATTTTTAAAGTTATAACCCAGCGGTAGGCGCCGTCCCCAGCTTCGGACACCCTTCTCCCCTGACCCTCCTTGGTGTGAACAGCATTGGTAATTGGCTGATTCTTGCTGCTGCTCTCCATGGGGCTGACTCAGAGCAGGCGGCCTCCCCAGGAGTATACATGGGGGCGCGGGCACCGAGAAGCTGCCCTGGGCCTCAGTGTCCCCTCACCAGCCCCAGGCTTCTACCCAAGAAAGGGGTAAAAATCGGGTATTGTGTAGGACTTTGAGTTGCTGGGCAGTTAGGTTATTTGGAGCAACTTCTTTTTATCCAGTTCAGAATTAAGTGCTGGAATGTTTAAGTCATAGTACCAGGGTTTTTACTAAAGCCTTGCTCTGTCCGAGCCTTGGATCAGGAGTTTCCACACCAAACCCATCCACGGCCTGGTGCAGTGGCTCATGCCTGTAATCTCAGCACGCTGGGAAGCCTAGATTGGGGGATTACTAGAGACCAGGAGTTTGAGACCAGCCTGGGCAACATAGCAAGACCCCTTCTCTATTAGTAAGTATTAACTTTTTTTTTTTTTTTTTTTTTTTTGAAGCGGAGTCTTGCTCTGTCGCCAGGCTAGAGTGCAATGGCGTGATCTTGGCTCACTGCAACCTCCACCTCCCAGCAATTCTCCTGCCTCAGCCTCCTGAGTAGCTGAGATTACACAGGTGCACACCGCCATGCCTGTAGAGACGGGATTTCACATGTTGGTCAGGCTGGTCTCAAACTCCTGACCTCATGATCCACCCACCTCAGCCTCCCAAAGTGCTGGGCTTACAGGCATGAGCCACCATACCCGCCCTGTATTAACGTTTTTTTAAAAATACTCATCCACTCTTCACTGCAGCACTGAGGAGTGGATGCCTTGTTATCTCCATTTTACAGAGGAGAGACTGAGGCACAGAGCAATTGATCAAGGTCACAGGGCTAATAGTGGATAGAGCTGGAGCCCAGGCCCCTGACTTCAGGGCCCTCAGGTTGTTCAACCCTTCACCCTACCCTGGCTCTTCCCAACGATGTGGCCACATTAAGTTAAATGACTTTAGCTTGCACGGAGTGGCTCACCCGGTAATCCCAGCGCTTTGGGGGGCCCTGGCGGAGGGATTGCTTGCATTCAGGAGTTCAAGACCAGCCTACGCAACGTAGCGAAACCCTGTCTCTACCAAAATACAAAAAATTAGCTGGGCAACAAGAGCAAAACTTAATCTAAAAAAAAAAAAGAAAAGAAAAGAAACTGAGTCTTGATCTGTGGCCCAGGCTGGAGTGCAGTGGGGCAATCTCGGCTCACTGCAACCTCCACCTCCCAGGTTCAAGTGCTTCTCATGCCTCAGTCTCCCGAGTAGCTGGGATTACTGGCATCCGTCACCACACCTGGCTAATTTTTATATTTTTAGTAGAGACAGGGTTTCCCCGTGTTGGCCAGTCTGGTCTTGAACTCCTGACCTCAAGTGATCTACCCGCCTCAGCCTCCCAAAGTGCTGGGGTTACAGGGCTGAGTCACCACACCTGGCCTCATTTCTCTTAGGTTCATACACCTAGCAGTAGAGTTGCCGGGTCCCTTGATAATTCTGTGGTTAGTCTTTTTGGGTCACTCTCGCCTTTCCCACAGCAGCTGCACCGTTTCACTGTCCCACTTAGCAGGGTCTGAGCAGGTATGAGAGTTCAGTTTCTCCGTGTTCTCACCAACCCTTGTTAATTTCCAGTGCTTTCATTCCGAGAAGTGGCGTCTGTCTGTGGTTTTGATTTGCGTTTTCCTGATGACTGGTGATGTAGAGTATCTCTCCAGGTGTTCACTGGCCATTTAGATACCTTCTTTGGAGAACTGTCTGTTCCCACCCCTTGCCCATTTTTCATTTGGGTTGTCTTTGTGTTGTTGAGCTAGGAGAGTTCTTTCTGTGTTCTGATTCTAGACTCTCCTTAGATACTGGTCTGCAAATCTTTCCTCCCATCCCTTGAGCTGTCATTTCACTTCCTTCCTGTGTCCTTTGAAGCACAAAAGGTTTTCATCTGGATAATGTTCAGTTGTCCAGCAATTTTCTAGATCTCTTCTTTAATCACCTTTCTTTCTTCTTCTTTTTTTTTAAAGATGGGGTTTCTCCATGTTGGCCAGGCTGGTCTTGAACTCCTGACCTCAGGTGATCCACCCACCTCGGCCTCCCAAAGTGCTAGGCTTACAGGCGCAAGCCACCGCGCCCGGCCTACCTTTCTTTCTTCTAAGGTACAGAAATGGGCACACGTTGCTTCATTCTTATGCCACCACACCTGGCTAATACTTGTATTTTTAGTAGAGACAGGGTTTCATCGTGTTGGCCAGGCTGGTCTTGAACTCCCAACCTCAAGTGATAAACCCACCTCAGCCTCCAAAAAAAAAAGTCTTTTTTCTTTTTTTTTTTTTTTTTTTTTAAAGAGACTGGGTCTCAATCTGCTGCCCAGGCTGGAGAGCAGTGGCGTGAACGTAGCTCACTGCAGCCTGCAACTCGTGGGCTCAAGTGATCCTCCTACCTCGGCCTCGTGAGCAGCGGGAACTGCAGGTGCCCAGCACCAAGTCCAGCTAATTTGTTTTATTTTTTGTAGAGATGAGGTCTTGCTGTATTACCCAAGCTGGTCTCAAACTCCTGGGCTCAAGTGATCCTCTGCCTCAGTGTTGGGATTATAGGCATGAGCCACTGCACCTGGCTGAGAAAACAAGAAAAAAATCTTAATGATTAAGTCACTCTCCATCCAGAGGGCTGCTGGTTTAAGGACCCAAGCATTTTTTTTTTTTTTTTTTTTTTTTTTTTATGAGACGCAGTTTCGCTCTTGTTGCCTAGGCTGGAGCACAATGGCGCAATCATGGCTCACCCAACCTCCGTCTCCCGGGTTCAAGCAATTCTCCTGCCTCAGCCTCCCAAGAAGCTGAGTTTACAGGCATGTGCCACCACACCCAGGTAATTTTGTGTTTTTAGTAGAGACAAGGTCTCTCCATGTTGGTCAGGCTGGTCTTGAACTCCTGACCTCAGGTGATCTGCCCACTGGGACTTCCCAAAGTTCTGGGATTATAGGCGTGAGCCACCGTGCCCAGCCCACAAGCCTCTTTTTATCTTGATGGCTTTGGATAATATTATCCCTAACAATGTCATGATGCGACCCACCCTCTTAGATGGAATCTGAGGCCCCGCCACTTGTGCTCAGTTATGAAGGCCGTTCCCCCTGTGCTCAGTGGCCTGGGCTGCTGTTGCCGCCTGTGTTGTGCCAGGGTGTCCATCTGGGGCAGCCTCTCTTCCAACGTCCCAGTGTGGCTGATACTGGTCTGTCTTGGACGGTGAGAAGTGCATCTGAGTCCTCAGGGTGGTGCAGGAGCTCATGGCCAGGAGCTCGGCCACTTGCTCTGGTCCCTGCAAGGCCTCTCCTACTGGCTCCTAGCCAAGTCGCAGATGCTCTGTCCCTGCTCAGCTCCAGCACCAGGTCCTGCTGGCGCGGCTGCTCCCAGGAAGCAGCAAACCCCGTGAACGGGTGTCCCAGCCTCTGCCTTCGGACCCCACAGCTGTCTCTCTTGAGGCTGACGTCCCAGGTGACACCCAGCCTGTCCCCTCTGTCACCTGCTAGCCCCTGGGGGCCCGGGATTTGCTGCAGCTTCATCTCCTGGGCTCCCCTCCTGTGATCTGAGGATACCCATGGCCCCTCTTCTCCCTCCCTGGCATGGTGTTCTCTTTATTCCCAGCAGGCATGGGGCTGGCTTGGGGTTTCCCTTAGGGTGTGGTCCCAGCCCTTGTTCAGCTCAGCTCCGGCCATGCGGCCTTGCCTGCAGCCTGTCAACAGCGGGTCTCATGTTCAGGGCAGAGGTGCTGTTTGAATTTAAACTGCTTGACTGTTAAGTTTCCCACAATGCCGGAATGGGCAGGCCGTCGTCTCATGTCCTATAGGAAGGATGCCTGTTTTTAATGCTCAGGACTAGGGCTCCAACCTTGGGTTTCCTGGTCCACCCTTTGACTTCATCATTGCACTCCCAGAGCCTCCGTCTCCCCATCTCTGGAATGAACATGCTTCACATCTTGCAGGGCTTTTGCATGGCTGGAGCTGCTGTCCCACCCCTCCCCTGCCTGGAAGGGGTCCTCACGGGTCAGGAACGAGGGCATTCCAAGTGCTGGCAGCTGCCAGGTGGAAGTCACCTGTCCATTTAGCATTCGTTGTGAGCACCATCCACCTGCAGGCTTGAAAGGTGGAGGCGGCGGGCGGCAGCATTCCTAGCCAGAGACAGTGAGGCCCGAACTGGCCGCTCATCCTCAGCCTGTGGTCAGTTCAGATCTGAGGCCTGTGTCTGTGCTCTCACTGGGGTCCGGGACTGTTGGTGGGCTTAGTACAAATGCACGGATGCTCAGCCAGTCGTGCCCCTCACCCGGGCCCAGAAAAAGGAGTGGGCTGAGTCCATTCAGTGTGAGCTGCTGGCTGAGAGGAACATCACAGGAGGCAAGGGGAGCCCGAGGGGTGGCCGGTGGATCGGAGCCACCCCAGGTAGGGCTTCATTCAGGGCCACTCCGGGATTTCCAGCCCTTGGGAGCTGAGGGGCCTCTTGGTCCTGAAGAAGACATTTATTCATTTATTCCTTCATCAGCATTCACACCCATACTCATCATGGGCGGGGAGAGGGCGAAGAAGGCTTTTCTGGGCTCCAGCTGCTGCAGATCCCGGCTAACCCCCAGGACCCTCTGTTACAGATGGAGGGTGTCTGGGTTCTTGGCCCTTTGAACAAAGAATTGGACAATACACACAAAGAAAGCAAGGAAATAATTAAGCAGCAAAAGCAGAGATGTCTTGAAACAGAAAGCACACGCCACAGAATAGGAGCAGGCCAAGCAAGCGGCTCAAGGGCCTAGTTGCAGAATTCTCTGGGGTTTAAATACCCTCTAGAGGTTTCCCATTGGTTACTTGGTGTACACCCTATGTAAATGAAGTAGTGGCCTGCAGTCAGTCTGACTGGTCGTGGAACGCGACCAATCAGAAGCTGAAGTGAAGCACCCTGTGCGAATGTTCGATTGGTCGTGGAACGCGACCAATCAGAAGCTGAAGTGAAGCACCCTGTGCGAATGTTCGATTGGTCGTGTTCCACGACTGTTTGGTTATAACCAGGTAGAGAAATGAAAAAGACTGTATGGTAAAATGAATAGGGCACTACAATTTAAAACGTTGGGGCCAGGTGCAGTGGCTCACACCTGTAATTCCAGTACTTTGGGAGGCCAAGGCGGGTGGATCACTTGAGGTCAGGAGTTCGAGACCAGCCTGGCCAACTTGGTGAAACCTCCATCTCTACTAAAAAATACAAAAATCAGCCGTGCCGGTGGTGCACGCCTGTAGTCCCAGCTACTCGGGAGGCTGAGGCAGGAGAATCGCTTGAACCCGGGAGGTGGAGGTAAGATTTCTGGTGTACTTGTTGGGAGTCATGTCGAGGGCCTCCGCGCTGACAGTGCCCGTGTGCTTTCAGCCTGGCTGGTGTGGAATGTGATGCTCCTGTTCTCTCGGGCCCTGGAGGTGTGCAGGGAGGGAAGGAGGAATTGTCAGCGTTGAGTGTAAAGGACAAGAGTCAGATCTCAGCGCTGGCATGTCCCATGTGGCCCTGGTCTGGTCTCTTGACCTCTGCGAGCCTCTCTCACCTCCCCTGCAGTAATAGGGGAGCTCCAATTCATACCTGCAGCTGGGTTGGTGACTGAATGAGCTTCCCTGGCATAAAGAGGAGACGCTTGGGAAGAAGCTCTGCAGGGGGAGAGAGGAGGAGCCCTTGGCATCGGGGATTTGGGCAGGTGGAAGGCGGGAACAAACCAGGCATTGCAGGCCCAGCCCCGCCAGGTGTCTCTCCAGAAGGTGTGAGACACAGAGGCCACTGTTGTCCCTCTGAGGACCCCTCGGCTTGCTCTGCTGTGAAAGGGATGCAGGGACCTAGTTGATGAGCCATAGCTGCGTCCCATGGAGGCCTGGGATGTGTGACCCAGCCCCTGCAGGTCTGGATGGGTGGGATTTGTCCACTTCCCATGTTTTTGGGCTGAGCAGGCTGGTCTCCCGCTGCCCAGGAGGCCCCTACCCCAGTCCCTGGGTCTCCCATCCAGTGCCCTGGGGTCTGGGACTCACTCTTGTCTCCCTTCCCACCCACAGGCAGCTGCTGAAGACAGAGTTGGGGTCCTTCTTCACGGAGTACCTGCAGGTAAGTGGGTCTAGCCCCAGCCAGGCTGGGCCTGCCTGACGAGCCGGCCAGAGAGCACCGGGGTTCGCCTGTGCCTGGGGGTGTGGTGGGCCGGCTCTTCTGCTGTCTTCCTGTGGTTCCAAGGACCTGCCTGGGTCCCTGTCTAGCCACGTGGATTGTTGTGGGGGTTAAATAATAAGACATGCTCTATTGCCCAGGCTGGAGTGTAACAGCGTGATCTCAATTCACTGCAGCCTCCGCCTCCCGGGTTTAAGCGATTCTCCTGTCTCACCCTCCCCAGGTGCTGGGATTACAGGCACCCACCATCATGCCCAGCTAATTTTTGTATTTTTGTAGAGACAGGGTTTTGCCACGTTGGCCAGGCCAATCTCGAACTCCTGACCTCAAGGCAATCCGCCCGCCTCAGCCTCCCAAAGTACTGGGATTACAGGCGTGAGCCACCGCGCCGGGCTAAGGCACAGTGAATTGTTAGCTCTGTGCCTGGCACATGATTGCCTCCCACTGGTTGTAATTATGTCCCTCCCCCCAGACCCCCAGGATGTCATTCTAGGTTTGGGGCGTGCGTGGCCCCAGTGACCTGAGCTGCATGGTGGTGATGGTGGTGGTTGTGCCATCAGCATCACCCACAGCGTCTGTCGCGGGTGCTCAGCAGCTCACCTTTGCTGCGCCCCATCCGGCCAAAAGGCCTGCACTGTCAATGCACACACAGGCAGTATGGTGGAACGTGGCACTCAGAGAGGTGATGCCACCTGCCTGAGGTCACACAGGGAGAAAGGGCAGCCAGTGAGGCCTGGCCCAGTGCCCCTTCACCTGTCAGGGCTGCCATGGTGCTCAGGGCCCTGCTCACTGCAGGGACATCTCGTGCAGGCTGGGAGCGAGGCACCTACCTTGCCCATTGGGTGGGATGAGGATGTGCCTGTGGTCCTTCAAATCATACTGTTGTAGGGGTTTTTAAAAAACATTGGCCAGGTGCAGTGGCTCATGCCGGTAATCCCAGCACTTTGGGAAGCTGAGGCAGGTGGCTCGTGAGGTTAGGCGTTCCAGACCAGCCTGGTCAACATGGTGAAACTCCATCTGTATTAAAAAAAGAAATACAAAAATTAGCTGGGCGTGGTGGCAGGTGCCTGTAATCCCAGCTGCTCAGGAGGCTGAGGCACAATTGTTTGAACCCAGGAGGTGTAGATTGCAGTGAGCCGAGCTCACGCCAGCTGCACTCCAGCCTGGGTGACAGGGCAAAGCTCCAGTCTCAAAAAAAAAAAAAAAAAAAATTGTTATTTAACAGCTTTATTGAGGTATAATTTAAGTGCCATACGATTCACCTATTTAAAATGTACAATTTTTTTTTTTTTTTTTTTTTTTTTTGAGACGGAGTTTCGCTCTTGTTACCCAGGCTGGAGTGCAATGGCGCGATCTCGGCTCACCGCAACCTCCGCCTCCTGGGTTCAGGCAATTCTCCTGCCTCAGCCTCCTGAGTAGCTGGGATTACAGGCACGCGCCACCATGCCCAGCTAATTTTTTTTGTATTTTTAGTAGAGACGGGGTTTCACCATGTTGACCAGGATGGTCTCGATCTCTTGACCTCGTGATCCAACTGCCTCGGCCTCCCAAAGTGCTGGGATTACAGGCGTGAGCCACCGCGCCCGGCCTGTTGTGTCTTTTGAGACAAGGTCTTGCTCTGCTGCCCAGGCTGTTGGGTGTGACAACGGCTCACTGCAACCTCAACCTCCCGGGCTCAAGAGATCCTCCCACTTCAGCCTGCCGAGTAACTGGGACCACAGGCACGTGTCACCACCCCTGGCTAATTTTTCAATTTTTTGTAGAGATGGGGTCTTACTCTGTTGCCCAGAGTCTAGTCTTGAACCCCTGGGCTCAAGCGATCCTCCTGTCTCGGCCTCACAAAATGCTGGGATTACAGGTGTGAGCCACTGCGCCTGGCCAGTTTTTACCTATATTCACAAAACGGTACAACCATCACCCCATCTAATTCTGAGACTTTTTCATTACGCCAAAAAGAAACCCTGCACCCATTAGTAGTGTCTGCCCTTACCCCCCGCTTAGCACGAGGCAGCCGCGCACCCACGGTCTGTCTCTGCATTTGCCAATTCTGTACATTTCCTTTTTTTTTTTTTTTTTTTTTTTGAGCTGGGAGTCTTGCTCTTGTCGCCCGGGCTGGAGTGCAGTGGTGTAATCTCGGCTCACCACAAGCATCTCCACCTCCCGGGTTCAAGCAGTTCTCTTGCCCCAGCCTCCCAAGTAACTGGGATTACAGGCATGTGCCACCACACCCGGCTGATTTTAGATTTTTAGTAGAGACAGGGTTTGTTCATGTGGTTCAGGCTGGTCCCAAACTTCCAGCCTCAGGTGATCTGCCCACCTCAGCCTCCCAAAGTGCTGGGATTGCGAGCCACCGCGCCTGGCCAGTTTCGTACATTTCGTATCAGCGACACCACACGGCGTGCCGACTTATCTGGACTCTCACTTAGCACCAAGTTCTTTCTCGCTTCGTTTTTTTGATGTGGATGGGCCGCATTTTGTGGTCCATCATTTCATTGCTGGACACTTGGATTGCTGAGACCACACACATGGTTCTCAGCTGAGCCGCCCTAGGCAGTGTGCACAGGGTCCCTGAGGTGGGGTGCAGCTGGTGGGCCCAGCCTTTGGTCACCAGAGTCCTCTCTTGCTGCAGAGTTCTTTCTTCACTGTGGGACATGCCAGGCATCCTCCTGCCCAGCTGAGCCTAGTGCAGGGGGCTCTAGGATCTGCCCACCTGGTGGGATGTCCCTGTGGCCACCTCCCGTCTCGTGACAACCCGGGGTTGGGTTGGGTCAGTTGTTGCCCCCGGGTGAGCCGACACTCAGGCCCTGCGGCAGGTGAGCTGCGGGAACTCGCTCAGTCTGCCCCCGCTTTAAGCCTCAGCTGCTCGCTGGTGGACGGACTCTTGGGGGCCCTGCCGGCCAGGACACCCCAGGGCACCCACCCACAGGGGCGGTGACAGCCCCTCTGTGTTTACCTTCAGAACCAGCTGCTGACAAAAGGCATGGTGATCCTTCGGGACAAGATCCGCTTCTACGAGGGTGAGTTCGGGCCTCATGATGGCGGGGCTCTGGGTGCGAGGTATGGCTCTCTGGTCTGGAGGGCTGAGAAGGGCCACAAATAGCCTCAGGGCAGCAGGGCCGGGACCCCTACCCAGAGGGGACCCTGGGGGAGAGTCTGCCCCTCAAACTTGCTGGAGCCCAGGAGGGCTGCGAGATGTCAGGGAGAGGTTCCCCGCTTCCAGGGGCTTCCGGCCCCAGTGAGTCCTGTCCCCGAGGCCTGGGAGAGGCCCGTCCAGGTCTTTGGGTGTCGGAGGAGAAGCATGTTAGGGCTGAGGTCACCAACACTCACAGAGGAGTGGACAGGAGCCGTGCTCTGGAGGGATCCCCAAGCTGAGCCTGGCCATGGGGGACTCAGCTGAGTTTCCTCTGTTGGCTCACAACCACCCGCTGGGGCCTTCGGGTCATTGTTCCTAAGTGGGAGGGCACAGTGATGATCAGTGATTTGCCCACGGCTACAGTGCACGTCAGGGGTGGAGGCGGGACTCAAAGCCAGGTCTGCCTGGCCTTAGGGCACATACCCTTCGGCCTTCTCAAGGCCCTGGGGTCCCCGCCGGCCTCACTGTGCTGCTTGGGCTCCCTGTGGCCAAGAGCCGCGGGCAGCCCAGGTGTGGGCCTTGCAGGAGTGAGCTGTCCCAGGAGCAGGGTCCGGCGACGGGGGCCGCTCCACTCCGCGGAGGCTGCTTTGCCCGGGCTGAGCAGAGCGCCCAGCCCCGTGCTGGGATCGGGCCTGCGCTGTGCCCGTGTGTTGAGCACCGGTGCGCTGGACACCAGGCGTGTGCGTCCTCTCTGCCGGACCGTCCCGAGGGTTTCACATCTAACTCGTGACTTCCACAACCCTGTGCAGAGCCACCAGTTGTTAGCACCGCTGAACGTGTGGGGGAGGTGAGGCACGGCGTCCTGCCTGGGCCACATGGCTGCTCCGTGGCAGAGCCAGGGTGCCACGCAGGCCACACTCTTCACTCTGCTGACCCTGGGAAGAAGGGCTGTTAGCCCAGTCCACAGAGGAGGACACAGGCCCGGCGGCCTCGCACGTTCTGGCTGAGCCTGGAGCTGCCTGTGGCGGTCCGTCCTCCCCCCCACTGCACCTGTTGAGTGCGGCCAGCCAAGACGGGAACACTAGGAAGGCTCTGAGAACCATCAGACGGCTGGGGAGACACAGGAGGTCTGGGACGGCTTCCTGGAGGAGGCAGCATCCAGGCTGGCAGGACAGGGCTGTGAGCTTTTGGCACCAGAGGAAGATGCCCGCCCACGCCCCTCTCCTGACATGGCACATTCCGACAGTGCCTGGGCTTCCCACCAGGTCTGGCCCAGGGGAGCCGGGGCTCTTGGAGAAGGGAGCTTTGTGTGGCTTGAGTGGAGCTCGGCCCAGAGCAGCCAGGTCTGCCAGCCCTCCCAGCAGAAGGGGCAGAGGGCAGCCCTGGGAGGCCCCGCCTAGGAGCCCAGCATCCCCTCCCACCTCACCAGCCCTGACTGGCCTCCCCAGGCCTCAGGGACGGGCACTGAGCTCTAGGCTGGGAGTCCAGGGCCCTGACCTGCAGTTCCTTGTAGCTGCGGACCCAGGGTTTCCTCTCCGGCCTCGGTATCCCTGTCGTAGCAACGTGAGGCTGAACAGGCTCGGTCCATGTCAGTGCTCCGTCCGTGCCAGGCCCAGGGGTGGAGGAGACCCAGGCCCTGCCCTATCGGGTCTCACCGCCCAATTAGGGACACAGACACGGACCAGAGGGTGACAGTCCAGTGTGACGAACGTCATTGTGAAGGAACGTCCTGGGGAAGGAAGGGTTTATCCCACCTTGGTGGTCAGAGAGGGCTGCATGGAGGCAGCGGCCCTTGAAAGTAGGGCCTGAAAATGTGGTCTGTTGAGGGGGATGTCTGGCCCCTTTCGGCCCGCATGCAGTGGTGCCATAGCCAACTCCACTCCCTAGTGGGCGGCCTCAGGAGCGCCCGCTTCCTGCCCCCCGCCCCTGCGTGGGTTCCGGTGGGAGCTCTTCCCCTGGAGCCTGCTCCTTGCAGCTGTCCCTGCAGAGCGTGTGACTGCCAGAGGGGGTCAAGGCTCCCCATGGGGCAACCCCAGGACCTTGCCCCCTGCCCATTCTCAGCCTCCAGCGAGGCCTTGGACTTCAGCCCCTGGACAGAGCAGGTCCTAGAAATGGAGATCCTGGAGAGCAGCCCGGAGGTGGAGGGTCCCCTCCCTCGGAAGGGGAGGAAGGCTGGGCCGAGGCTGGGGTTGTGGTTTGACGGCCTCTGCGTGCGGCGTAAGGGAATCGCCTCCAGCTGCGGCCGGGCAGCTCTGGGGAGGAGCTCGTAGGCCTCTGCCGGGCCCTGGGATCTGCCGTCGCTCATCCGCCGGGGAATCCGAGCCCAGTGTGGGTCACGTGGCCCAGCCGTGCTGCCGGCAGCCCTGCACACTTGCCTCCGCGCCTGTGCCTCAGCCGTCCCCGCGCCAGACACCCCTGACCTGTGCCACCCAGCTCGTGGCTTTTGTCACGGCCCCGTGGTTCGCACTGTTCCTGGGTCTCCCGATGGGCTGAGACTGGCGTGTTCATTTCCAAGGCCTGCACAGGTACCTCAGCACTTGGATAAAGAAAGAAAGGCGGGTGGATCACAAGGTCAGGAGTTGAAGACCACCCTGGCCAATCTGCTGAAACCCCCGTCTCTACAAAATGGACAAAAATTGGCCATGCATGGTGGCAGCCACCTGTAATCCCAGCTCCTCGGGAGGCTGGGGCAGGAGAATCACTTGAACCCAGGAGGCGGAGGCCGCAGTGAGCCGAGATCGCACCATTGCACTACAGCCTGGGCGACAGAGTGAGACTCCATCTCAAAAAACAAAAAGGAGAGACGGACGCTGGCCTGCGTCCACAGTGAGAACCCCAGGGTGGGAGCCGGCGCGGAGCCGAGGCTACTGCGGGCCACTCGTCTGCACCATCGGCCCCTGCTGCTGCCGGGCTGGAGCCAAGACACGGCGCCCACCCCTGTCCCGTCCCGGCGGCAGCCGACGCCCGGCGCTGTTTCATCTCGGCTTTCAGCCTGCCCACGTGGGGACATGTATCATGCCTGTCAGAGCGGATGCCACTGACTCCGCCTGGAGGAACTTCCTGGGGTTGCCCCATGGCCCCGACTAACCCTGGCCAACCCCACTGCCCCACAGAGGGGCCCCCACAGGGCAGTTCCTGGCTTCTCGTCTCCCTGTGGCTCCGGCTGGGACAGAGATTCTCTTTTACAACATCTGCTTTCCACAGCATTTCCGCCCCGTGGGCTGGAGGACGGGCTGGACGCAGCAGAATGCGGGCCTGGCCAGCGCCCAGAGCCACCCCCAGGCCAGCCCGGGACTGAGCCGGCTCTCTTCCCGCCGCGGCAGCGGAGGGGAACTGAAGGGACTGTGGGAGCACAGCTCGGTGGGGCGGTGAGCATCCGCCTGTCCCGGGCATTCCTGCTGGCCCCCGGTGCCCTCGGAGCCAGGTGTGGGCTGCCCAGGGCAGAGGGCTGGCCACCTGGCTGGGAGCCAAAGATGGGGCCCAGTCCGGCTCGCCCCCAGCCCGCTTAGCCCCTGGGGCTGCCCCTGGCTGGGTCCTGCTCCTAGTGCCCTCGAACCTGGGGGCTTTCAGGAGTGGGGACAGGGCCCAAAGAGTGAGGGAAAGAGGCAAAGGTCCCTGTTCAGCTTCTGCGTTGCCACGGAAACCTCGAAGAAGTTCTGGCTGGGGGTGCAGCCTGAGAGACGGCCGGCAACTCAGGCACCCACACCAAGCTCTCTCTCACCAGTTGCTCGTCTGGCTTCCGGGGAACAGCAAAGGCCTTGGGGACATGTCCTGGGACTGCATCCCTGGACCCAGCAGCCATCATCCCAGCTCCGCTCGGTCCAGGCAGAAAGGCCAAGGGTTCTGCACGCCGCCCCTCCCACCGGAGCCCAGAGCCGGGTCGGGCAGCCGTCCCCCTCCCACAAGGCTCACTCGCCCAGTGGATGGCACCATTCCTCCCAGAGCCAGCAGAGCTCGTGCCAGTGTCTGCTGCCTACACACCTTCAGGGGTTCACCTGTCACAATGTGTCCCCACACCATTCAATCTGGCAAGCCCAGCTCCTGTAGCCAGCTTGGGTCACACAGGACCCTCCTGCAGGAAGCCCTCCTGGCCTGACCCTCTGCACCCTCTCCTCCCTTGGACGTGGTGCTGCTATTGGAAGTGGTTTCTGTGGCTCCACAGACAGCCTGGGCTGGGCTGGTCCTCCCAGCCGCGGACCGCGGTGCACCCTTTGCTCGGAGGCTCAGCCTCTGTCTGCTCGGTGGGGGTCGGGCACTCCTAGCCACTGCCCTTATGATCCTGTTCAATGTCCCACTTCCCTGCCATGTGATGGATGGACAGCCGTTTGGGTCCCCAGTGCCCAGCATCAGGGCTGGCACAGAGTAAGTGCTCTGTGAATGTTTGCTGGAGGGGCAAGCAGGGTGGGGGAAGGAGGGACGGGGCCGGTGGGTAGGTGAACTCAGTGCTTAGCCAGGTCGTTAGGAGGATCTGATGAGACTAGGACATGTCCTGCCAGGCGTACCTGTTGGGGGGCTCTCACCTGTGCCGGGCGTACCCGTGTGTGTCTCACCTGTGCCAGGGGTATCTGTGTGTGTCTCACCTGTGCCGGGCATACCTGTGTGTGTCTCACCTGTGCCAGGGGTACCTGTGTGTGTCTCACCTGTGCCGGGCTCACCTTATGGGTCTCACCTGTGCCGGGCACACCTGTGGGTCTCACCTGTGCCAGGCGTAGCTGTGCGGGTCTCACCTGTGCCGGGCACACCTGTGTGGGTCTCCCCCATCTGGGTCTCCCCTGTGTGGGTCTCACCTGGGCCAGGTGTACCTGTGTGGCTCTCACTTGTGCGGGTCTGGTATGTGATAAGGCCTGGGAGATGCCCGCTGTACCTTAGTCTCATTTTCATGCCCTCAGCTCTGGGAGGCTGACCCCATTACCTCCGGATTTTATAAACGGGAAGACTGAGGTTAAGCACTGGGCCCAGGACCACAGAACTGCTGAGCTGTGAAGCCGGATGTCGACCTTGGGCAGGTGCTTCCAGGGGCCTAAGCCCAGGCCCTCTGCTCCTGCGCCTCCAACACCCCATTCTGGGGGAGTTGAGGCGTCTGCTGGAGCCAGTTCAGGCCGGGTGGTGACGGCCCCCATGCCCACAGGACAGAAGCTGCTGGACTCGCTGGCAGAGACCTGGGACTTCTTCTTCAGTGACGTGCTGCCCATGCTGCAGGCCATCTTCTATCCAGTGCAGGTGGGCGCCTCAGCCTGGGGAGGGAGCCCAGTGCCCCTGCTGTGCCCACCCTGGTCTCACTCTAAGGAGACAGCTGCCAGGCTCAGGGACACACGCACGTGCTCTCCCCTGCGCTGCCCTCCCCTGTCCTGCCCTCCCCTGTGCTGCCCTCCCCTCCCCTGCCCTGCCCTCCCCTGCCCTGCACTGCCCTCCCCTGTGCTGCCCTGCCCTGCCCTGCCCTGCACTGCCCTGCCCTCCCCTGCCCTGCCCTCCCCTGCGCTGCCCTCCCCTGCGCTGCCCTCCCCTGTCCTGCCCTCCCCTGCGCTGCCCTCCCCTCCCCTGCGCTGCCCTGCCCTCCCCTGCCCTCCCCTGCCCTGCCCTCCCCTGTGCTGCCCTGCCCTGCCCTGCCCTGCACTGCCCTCCCCTGCCCTGCCCTCCCCTGCGCTGCCCTGCCCTGCCCTGCCCTGCGCTGCCCTCCCCTGCCCTGCCCTCCCCTGTGCTGCCCTCCCCTGCCCTGCCCTCCCCTGCGCTGCCCTCCCCTGCCCTGCCCTCCCCTGCCCTGCCCTCCCCTGCGCTGCCCTGCCCTCCCCTGCCCTCCCCTGCCCTGCCCTCCCCTGTGCTGCCCTGCCCTGCCCTGCCCTGCACTGCCCTCCCCTGCCCTGCCCTCCCCTGCGCTGCCCTCCCCTCCCCTGCCCTGCACTGCCCTGCCCTCCCCTGCCCTGCCCTCCCCTGCGCTGCCCTCCCCTCCCCTGCCCTGCACTGCTCTCTCTGGGCCACCCGAGCTGCTCAGAGCCTGTTTCCACCCCTACAAGCTACAGATATGGACGCCTCCCTCCCTGTGAATCCTCCAGCAGCCAGGCACAGAACAGGGGCTCTGTGACAGTAACCCTTTCCCTGCCAGAGGAAACTGAAGGGATCCACTGTCCTTGGGACAGGGTCATCTGGGGAGAATGGGGTCAGGGGGCCTGAGGGCCAGCAGGTCTCTTCCCCCGTGGGGTCCCAGGGCTGGGAGAGGTGAGGACACGTGTCACCACAGCAGGTGGCGTGGGGCGCCTTCTGTCCGCAGGGCAAGGAGCCGTCAGTGCGTCAGCTGGCCTTGCTGCACTTCCGGAACGCCATCACCCTCAGCGTGAAGCTAGAGGACGCGCTGGCCCGGGCCCACGCCCGCGTGCCCCCCGCCATCGTGCAGATGCTGCTGGTGCTGCAGGTGGGTGCCGTGGGCACGGGGTTGGGCATGGGGACCGGGCTCAGCTCCCCACTGCCAGAGCATGAGACGAGGAGTTAGGGGCACAGACTTAAGGGGGGTCCAGTCAGAGGAGAAGCCTGTGAGGGCGAGGCACGGAGCAGCCGGTCAGAGCTGGGGGTTCGGGAGAGCACAGGCCGCAGACCTGCTCCTCCTGCTCACAAGGCTGGGCCTTTACCCGCTGGGCCAGTCAGCCTGGGGCTGTGCCCACCCCAACACACACATGTGCACGCACATGCACACACTACACACATGCACGCATACACTAGACGTGCATACACTACACACGTGCACACACTACACACATGCACGTACAGTGGCCCTGTCGTTTCTGTCCAGAGGGCTTTCGTCAGCGGGCCCAGCTCTGGGGAAGACACTCCGAGAGCTGTTAGCCCCCCCTTACAGCAGGTGGGGAGAGGGTGCCTGCCCCAGATCGGGGAGTGGGGGTCCCCAGCGGCGTCCACCACAAGCCAGGGGTTTCCGCACACAGCCCTTCCCCAGCACTACGCTTCACCGTTGGCCAGCTCGTCTCACTGTCGCAGGACCCTGCAGGCACCACCGGCCACCCCATTTTACAGATCGGGAAACTGAGTGCTTGCTGGGAGCTAATAAGGGTAGGAGCCTGGCTTTCGCACGTGCAAAGTCCTATTTATTGTTCTGGATCCCCATGAAGATCTTTTTTTGAGACGGAGTTTCGCTCTTGTTGCCCAGGCTGGAGTGCAATGGTGCGATCTCGGCTCACCGCAACCTCCACCTCCTGGGTTCAGGCGATTCTCCTGCCTCAGCCTCCCGAGTAGCTGGGATTACAGGCACGCGCCACCACGCCCAGCTAATGTTTTGTATTTTTAGTTTAGTAGAGACGGGGTTTCACCATGTTGACCAGGATGGTCTCGATCTCTTGACCTCATGATCCACCTGCCTCGGCCTCCCAAAGTGCTGGGATTACAGGCTTGAGCCACCGTGCCCAGCCCCCCCACCTTTTTTTTATTTTTGTCTTGTTGCCCAGGCTGGAGTGCAGTGGCGTGATCTCGGCTCACTGCAGCATCGGCCTCCCGGGTTCAAGCTATTCTCCTGCCTCAGCCTCCCGTGGGATTACAGGCATGCGCCACCGTGCCTGGCTAATTTTGTATTTTTTTTTAGCAGAGATGGGATTTCTCCATGTCGGTCAGGCTGGTCTCCAACTCCCGACCCCCGGTGATCCGCCTGCATCAGCCTCCCAAAGTGCCGGGATTATAGGCGTGAGCCACCACACCTGGCCTCCTTGAAGATCTTTTAAAATCAGGGTTTCTGGGAACACTGGGGACACTCACGGCAATCACAGCAAGGAAGGGACGGCCAGTGTGGATCCGTGCAGGGCAAGGCTGCCCTGGGAGGCGGAAGAGCCCCCCGCCTGCCTCTGGGAGTTGAGAGTGTGTAGGCCGGGCCTGGCTGGGTGGAAGCGGGGACGCTTGAGAGACTCTGCTCTCTCAGCTTCAGTTTCCCCGTCTGTGTGACAGACGAAGACCTCCGCCCTGGCAGGACAGGCGAGGACAGGGTCATTCACAACCAACTCACTGCTCCTATAGGCAGACAATTCCACAGACACATGGGGTCCCCTGCGTGATTGTGGGTGACCTTACTGAGGGCCCCTGTGGAGTCCCACCCACTGCTTGTTGAAACACAGACCAGGACCTAAGAGCCTGTACCAGCCGTGCAACCCAGAAGTTCAGGCAACTCTGCTGACCTCCCTCCCTGCCTGGAGAGGCCTCCCACGCCCATCCCAGTAACCTCTGGCTGGCCAGATTGTCACTTAGAATTCTACCTGGGTGCGGCTGGGCACGGTGGCTCACACCTGTAATCGCAGCACTTTGGGAGGCTGAGGCGGGTGGATCATGAGGTCAAGAGATCAAGACCATCCTGGCCAACATGGTGAAACCCCATCTCTATAAAAAGTACAAAGAATTAGCTGGGTGTGGTGGCGCGCACCTGTATTCCCAGCTACTCGGGAGGCTGAGGCAGGAGAATCGCTTGGACCCGGGAGGCGGAGCTGCGATGAGCCGAGATCGCGCTACTGCACTCCAGTCTCAAAAAAGAAGTTCTGCCTGGGGCGTCCTGTCCCTGAACCACCCGACAGCCTCTTGAGGTTCATTTGTTAGCTCATTCATTCACTCATTTATTCTCTGTCAATGAGTGCAAGCTCTTGCTGTAAGTGGGCTTTCTCCGGCCTTCGGCAGGGTGCTGGGGTCCCAGGAGGCGGGAGGCAGAGGACAGGCTGTCTGGTAGGTGGGACATATGGCTGAGAGCCTGGGCCACCAGGTTCAGGTGCATCACCCCCCGCCCCCCACCCCGCTGTCCTGCAGGGGGTGCACGAGTCCAGGGGAGTGACCGAAGACTACCTGCACCTGGAGACGCTGGTCCAGAAGGTGGTATCGCCATACCTGGGCACGTACGGCCTCCACTCCAGCGAAGGGCCCTTCACCCACTCCTGCATCCTGGGTAGGGGTCCACCTGGGCCTTGAGCTGGGGTGGGGGGTGATCACGGACGCGGACCATTGTGAACAGATGGACAGACTGGAGCCCCACGGCTGGGCCGTGGCGGAACCAGGGTCTCACTCCAGGGTAGTTCTCAGCTGTGGCAGCCCCCAGCCCGCCACGTGCGTTGGGCGGTGATGTGACCACACCCCGGAGAGCCCCACGGGGACTCTGCATCTCCTAGGAGGCCCTTCCGTGTGCGGACTTGAACGTCAGAAGTTGGCCGGGATGAGTGCTCAGAACGTGCAAATGCCTGAGGACTCCTGGCTCCCGTAGGGAACCCAGGCTGAGGGGGGACTCGGGCTGGGGGTGGGCAGGCTGAGCCCTGTGGGCTGCGTCCGGAGGCTGCCACTCCGGCACAGCTGGCCACGTTGCTCCCTTGACGAGGGCCTCTGGGTTCCTGTAGCAATGTCCCTTCATTACCTGCTCCGCACCAGCCCGAGGCCACCTCTCTCCCCTCCAGCAGGGGAGGCCGACCAGTGAGTCCTCTCCACACTCGCCGCCAGCTGGAGGCTGGTAGCCTCCCAGGCAGAGGGGACAGAGCTGGTGCAAGGCCCACTTGGGACTAGGCCCCCTCATCCAGAAGGGCTCCCCTAGCCACCTGCTGGCGTAAAACCCGCCCACCAGTATGCCTCAGCTCAGACAGTGCCCCGGCCGCCGAAGAGCTTTGAGGCACCGGGGTCGGTGCCCTCGCCCGGGAAGGGCCCCCGAGTCGCTCGTGTGTGCTGCCTGCCGCCAGGTGGCCACTCTTGGAACTGCAGAATCCTGAATGGGAGCCTGAACCCTGCCCCACACCCGGCCTGAGCCACCGCCTCCTGCCCAGATGACCCAAGGGGCCTCCTCTCCAGGTCCCCACGTCTGCCTGTGTCCCCCGAAGCCTATTCCTCTCCATACTACAGCCAGTGAGGTCTGTTTACTGCTGCCCGGCCACAGGTTCCCCGGGATCTGGCCCCATGGCTCTCCTGTGGTGGGCTTTTTGACTCCCCCACCCCCTTGGACACCAGCTCTAGTGGGGCAGGGGCCACGCCGGCCTGGGGAAGTGCAGGCGTCCAGCGGGTGCCAAGGTCCGTCTACTTCCACCAGTGGGGAAACTGAGGCACGGGGTTACAGAACTTACCTGGAGTCAAACACAGGTCGCTGTCAGGGTGCAGGTTCAAACCCAGGCGTTTGACTTGAGATCCTGCGTGTTCAGGGCTGGGGCTGGATGGAGAAGACAGACTGGACCCTGAGTTAGTGTCCGGGTGCTTGGCGGCGGGAGGCCTGCCGGCTGGGCCCCCACCCCCGGAAGCTGCCCCTGCCCAAGGACGAAGTGGCAGCAGGGAGCAGGTGCTCAGCCGGGCGGGGACGTTCAGGTGGCCTCTGGCGTGTGACGGTGTCCGCGTCTCTCCCCAGAAAAGCGCCTGCTGTGCCGCTCCCGCTCGGGGGACGCGCTGGCCAAGAACCCGGTGGTGCGTTCCAAGAGCTACAACACGCCGCTGCTGAACCCGGTGCAGGAGCACGAGGCGGAGGGCGCGGCGGCCGTTGGCACCGGCGTCCGCAGGCACTCCGTGTCCGAGATGACGTCCTGCCCCGAGCCCCAGGGCTTCTCCGACCTGCCCGGCCAGGGCCCCGCCGGAGCCTACAGGTCCTCCCCCGTGCCCCACTCAGGGCCATGCCCCAGCAGACTGCACCCCACGACCCAGCCCCCCGAGCAGGGCCCGGATCCCACCCGCAGCCCGCTGCCCGGCTCCAGCCCCGAGAACCTGGTGGACCAGATCCTGGAGTCCGTGGACTCCGATTCCGAAGGGATTTTTATTGACTTTGGCCGGGGCCGGGGGTCCGCCACGTCCGGCTTGGGGGGCCCCGGGGGCCGGCAGAGCGTCGTGTGAGGCCTCACGGCCGGCCTGGAGTTTTTACTGACACAGCCCCTTGGGGGGGGGTGTCCACGTGGTGTGTGTGCGCGTGGGACTTTTTTACTCTGTCCGGCCCCTCCAGCCGCCGGCCTGGCCGCGGTGACCTCGTACTCCTGTCTGTGTTAGGAATCCCGTCAGCCTCCCTTGCTCGGCCCAGGTCTGTGTCAGGCATGTGAGTCAGTGTTACCTGGGGACCCGGGTCCGGGACGGGGTCGGCCCCTCACTCCTGTGCTCCCCCTGCCCCGGCCCTCTGTGTCCACACCCGCCTACCCACGAGGGACCCCGGACCCCGGACTGACCAGACTCCAGCACACCTGCCTTCTCCTGCCTGGGGTGGCCATGGGGATGGAGAGGGGCGGAATAAAACCTGTGACCCCTCCTGTCCGCAGTGCCTGCCCTGAAGACCCCCGCTCAGGGTGTTCGCCCTCAGGCTTTGCTCCCTCCTAGGGAGCCCAGCTTCCCAGGGGCAGACCCGTGCCTGGTGTCCGGACATCCCTTCCTTCCGCTACACGACGGGAGGCCCGAGAGATGATGGAAGGAAGGGCTGGGATGTCAGGGAGTGGGGCTGGCCCTGACTTTGCCCCTGTCGGGAATGGAGGGGAGGGAGGGAGCAGGGGGGGATGGAGGCGGGACCTGTCAGCCCCTCCCGTGCTACAGAAGCGCCCAGGCAGCCTGCGGGGTGGGGTGACCTGCTGGAGGCCACCTGGCCGGGGAGGGACAAGCAGACACCTGCCCTCGCCACCCCTGCAGCCTCACTGCCTGAGACACTTTCCCCGAGCCTCAGGTGGTCAGGGCACCCCCTCAGCCGCAGCGGGCAGGGCCCACTCCCTGTCCCCCCATCGGTGGGGCTCAGTTACTGTTTCTGAGAGCCACAGCGAGCTCAGCACCGCAGGCACCCCAACTTTCAGGGGGGAGCTGAGCCTGGCGCAGGCTTCCCTGGCCACCCCACTTTTTAAAAGCATCAGGCAGTGTGGCCTCCGTGGGGAGAGGGTGTGGGGGTCTCTAATGGCGGGCACCTTTCCACACCCCGTTCACCTGCTTATCCGCCACCACCACACCCTTCCAAGTGCCCGCCTCTCGTGGCATTGATTTTCTTGGGGTGGGGAAGGAATGCTGAGCAAATGAAGGGCAGGGGACCCGTTGTGGGCAGGAGGACATCACCCGGCCCCTGAGTCACAGCTAGAGCTGGCCCAGGCTGTCTACTGGCAAAGCCTTGTGGATGGAGTTTTCCCTTGTGGTGGGAGAAGCAGTCCAGGCACCCCTGCTTCTGCTCAGGACAGGGTGCAGTGGAGGTGGAGGCAGGGGGAGCTCCAGCTTCCTGACTCCGCTGAGCCTCAGCTTTGTGGTCTGTGATATGGGTGCATACCAACCCCGTGGAGCTCTCTGAAGCTACTCTGGGAACGGGTACTCTGCCCCAGGCAAGGCTCAGCGGGGCACGTAGGGGAGCAGGAGCAGCCTCAGGCCCTGGGCCTAGGGGTCGGGTGGGCATCGCACAGGAAGCCAGAACCTGGTCTGAGAACCCCACTGCCAGGCTGATGGGGCTGAGATCCCTCAACCAACCTCTTTGGCTCCTGGCTCCATCATGGAGCCTGGGGTGGGGAGTGGTGGGTGACCGTTAGCAGCGGGTTCCCAGAGGCCACTTGGAGGCAGAAGGAGCAAAAATCAGAAGCCGGGGCAGGGTGTTGCTGTCTGGGCTCTGTCCACACGAGGGTGCTAGACCCCCTGTTCTCCCCGCTGAGTGGTGGGGGCTCCATCATGGGGGGGGGTCAAGCATCCCTGGCCCCTGGATGCTGCCGGGCCTGGGGTGGCTCAGGGACTGGTGGTCTCTTCTGGCTTGCACTTGGGCCCAGGGAAAGGTGGTCCCTGAGCTCTTGGTCCTCCTGCCCCGGGGCAGGAGGGGAGGCCCTTGGACGGCAGCCAGCAGTGTCCCCACCCACAGATGAGGGGCTGCAGCCCAGGAGAGTGGGTGCTGGCCCTGGGCCCTGCAGAGTTCAGGGGTCTCAGTGGGGGTCCCAAGGAGATGAGAAGACTGCAGTCCCACCCCCGGAAAGCAGCAAGCAGCAGCCCAGCAGGAGGCTGAGAGAGAGAGAGAGAGTGTGTGTGTGTGTGTGTGTGTGTGTGTGTGAGAGAGACCCAGCCTCGTTCCCAAAGATGTCTGAGGTCATCTGCATTCAGACATCTTATAAATTGGTAAACTATCAATGAAGTCCAGGGACGGTGGCTCACTCCTGTAATGCCAACACTTTGAGAGGCTGAGGTGGGTGGATTACCTGAAGTCAGGGGTTTGAGACCATCCTCGCCAACATGATGAAACCCCGTCTCTACTAAAAGTACAAAAAAAAAATTAGCCTGGCATTGTGGTGCACACCTGTAGTCCCAGCTACTCAAGAGGCCGAGGCAGGAGAATCGCTTAAACCCAGGAAACAGAGGTTGCAGTGAGCTGAGATCGCACCGCTGCACTGCAGCCTGGGCAACAAGAGTGAAACTCCGTCTCAAAAACAAGAAATGCAGTTACTAACCCCAGTCAGACATTATGTGTGGGAAAAGGCAAGAACGGGATATTTTCTTTTACTTATTTATTTTGAGACAGGGTCTCTGTTGCCGAGGCTGGGAGGGCAGTGGTGTGATCATAGCTCACTGCAGCCTCGACCTCCCAGACACGAATGATCCTCCCACCTCAGCCCCCCAAGTAGCTGGGACCACCGGCTCGTGCCATCAAAGCCCGGCTAATTTGTTTATTTTGTAGAGACAGAATCTCCCTATGTTGCCCAGGCTGGGCACAAACTCCTGGGCTCAAGAGATCCTCTTTCTTGAGCCCAAAGCCTCCCAAAATGCTGGGATTATACCAAGTCCAGCCTTATTTATCTTTTTTCCTTTTTTTTTTTTTTTTTTTTTTTTTAATGAGACGGAGTCTCACTCTGTCACCTGGGCGGAGTGCAGTGGTGCGATCTCAGCTCACTGCAACCTCTGCCTTCTGGGTTCAAGGGATTCTCCTGCCTCAGCCTCCCAAGTAGCTGGGACTACAGGCATGTGCCACCACGCCCAGCTAATTTTTGTATTTTTAGAACACACGGGGTTTTACTGTGTTGGCCAGGCTGGTCTCAAACTCCTGACCTCAGGTGATGCACTTGCTTCAGCCTCCCATAATGCTGAGATTACAGGCGTGAGCCGCCGTGCCCGGCCCTTCCTTATCTTTTAAGGAATAGAGTGACTCAGGAAAGAGACATGGGGACCGTGCGCTCCGGGCTCGCATCCTGCTTGGTCTTCAAGACATCCTCCCGGAGAGCTGCACCTTGTCACAAAGTCAGGACTTGGTGAAATTATGTTGCTGGGCGTGGTGGCACATGCCTGTAACCCCAGCTACTCGGGAGGCTGAGGCAGGAGAATCGCTTGAACCCGAGAGTCAGAGGTGGCACTGAGCTGAGATCATGCCACTGCAGTCCAGCCTGAGTGACAGAGGGAGACTCCGTCTCCAAAAAAAAAAAGAAAGAAAGAAAAAAGTAATAGCTCACAGCTAGGCACGATGGCGTACACCACTAAATCTAGCACTTTGAGAGGGCGAGGTGGGAGGACCGCTCGAGCTTAGGACGTGGAAACCAGCCTGGGCAACAGGGTGAAACCCTGTCTGTAAACAGTATTTTAAAAATTGGCGGGGTGTGGTGGCACGTGCCTGTAGTTCCAACTACTCTGGAGGCTGAGGTGGGAAGATCACGTGAGTCTGGGACGTTGAGGCTGCAGTGAGCCATGATCACGCCACTGCACTGAAGCCTGGCCAACCCAACCAGACCCTGTCCCCTGCTCTCCCCACCCACCGCCGAAAGAAGAAAGTTGGTCTATAGTTAAGACTTCTCGGTCTATCCCCAAAAACATTGAAAGCAGGATCTGGAAGAGACACTTGGCACACCAGCGTCCACAGCAGCGTTCCTCACAACAGCCGAAGGGTGGAAGCCACCAAGCACCCGTCGTCAGCTGAATGGATAAGCGATGTGGTCATCCACACAAGGGAACATTCTCCAGCCTCAAAAAAGAACGGAGTCCGGATACGTGCTACAGCATGAAGACAAAACCCTGGCCGGGTGTGGCGGCGCACACCTGTCGTCCAAGCACTTTGGAGGCCAAGGCGGGTGGATCACCTGAGGTTGGGAGTTCAAGACTAGCCTGACCAACTTGGTGAAACCCCGTCTTTATTGAAAAAAAAAAAAAAAAAAAGTTAAAACCCTGATGTGAAGTGAAAGAAGCCAGACGCGTGAGACCACATGCTGGATGGTTCCGTTCCTCTGAGGTGTTCAGAACAGGTAAAGCCACAGGGACAGAGGGTAGAGCGCTGGTCGCAGGCCCTGGGGAGGGCGTTTAGGGAGTCGTCGATGGGATTTGAGTTTAGTTTTGCCGATAAGAGTTCTGGAGATTGGTTCCACGACGATCCGAATGAACTTTACTGAACTGTACACTTTATTATGTGGGTTTTACCGCAGTAAACACAGACAAAAAGAAAGTGGGAAGAAGGTGGAGAGGGGAGGAGGACGGGAGTGGGGGACGGACGGACGGACGGACGGACGCAGCTGTTGGCTGTTGGGAAGAACGTTGCTGTGAACACCGGTGTGCCAATACCTCTTTGAGATCCCGCTTTCAGGCCGGGCGCGGTGGCTCTCGCCTGTAATCCTAGCACTTTGGGAGGCCGAGGTGGGTGGATCACCTGAAGCCAGGAGTTCAAGACCAGCCCGGCTATCATGGTGAAACCCCATCTTTAAAAAAAAAGAAAAAAGAAAAAGAGATCTTGCTTTCAGTTCTTTTGGGTATAGACCCAGAAGTCTTAATTATAGGCCAACCTCCCCCCCCCACCCCACCAGCAGGGACAGCGTCTCGCTCTATTGCGAAGGCTGCAGTGCAGTGGCGTGGCCGTGGCTCCGGGCCACCGTGCAGTGGCGTGATCGCGGCTCACTGCAGCCCTCAACCTCCTAGACTCAAGTGATCCTCCCACCTCAGCCTCTAGAGTGCTTGGGACTACAGACACGTGCCACCACACCTGGCTAAATTTTTTAATAAGGAAGGGAAAGAGGGACGTAGGAAAGAAAGGCAAGGGAAGGGGAAGGAGAAGGGAAGTAAGGGAGGGAGGGGGGGGGGGAAGGGGAAAGCAAACGGAAGGAGAGAGGAAAAGGCAGAGGTGGCAGTGAGCCAGGATGGCACCGGGACGGTTCCTTGCAGCTGCTTTCCTTAGGGAGCATGGACTGCTGCTCTGGGCCCCTCTGCCGAGACGAGTGGAGGGACACAGCGCTGCAGCAGGGCGGCCATGGTCCCCAACTCCAGGACTGTCCAGCGGTAAAGTAGGCGGCAGCCTCAGAAATGCTGGGAGGAGTGGGCAGGCCGCTGGGGGACAGG